CCACAATGCTGTCCCCTGAGGTAAAATCTATAACCCAAAGACAGAAGCAACAGTTCTGTAATTAGAGTCATTATAGTAGCAAGTTAATTTAGGAAGTATATTGGACAGCGGATTTCAAGCAGTCTTTTTGGGTGCTATTGCAATCAGGCCCCAGGCATGTTACTTCACTGACGCCAATTGTGATGCTGACTCTAATCTGCAACTATAGACTGTGCTGTACTAGAGGAGCTCCCTTGGACTCTGCCTTCCTCAAAGTACTTATATTATGCTTTTGAATTAGAAATTTGTATAATGATCAAATTCAAGGGCGCATGCAGAGAAAAGTAATTGTTCTTCCTGTTCCCTTGACATCCAGCTCCATTTCTCAGAGGCAACCCATGTTTATACTCTTATGTGTATCTTTCAGAGATACTGTATGGCAAATAAAAACATAGTATATGTATATACACTCATGCAGACATACTACATATACATTTTCCTCTGTATTATTTGTGTTTTGGAAGGTGGATATATAAGCATGCTATTTGTACTTTGTCAGGTATTTTTATAATAATTTATTCTAAAATAAATCATTCTTTCTTTCAACCATGTAATTCTGTTTCCTCCTTTCTATTCTCCTTTAGCTGTCCTCTAGTTTCTTCAGTGACTAGCTATAGCTTATGTACTCAGCCAAAAGCAAACATTTTTCCCCCAGTTGGAATGTCAGCAATTGTGCAATCAGGCTTAGTTGTACGACAGTTGAAATGGATGCACTTATCATAATTAAAAGGTAGTGTCCTCAAAAATCATATGCTGTATTTATGTCCATTTTACATTTCACACCTCTGATTCACGTTTGAAGTTTATAGACACCTGCAAATCTATTTTTCTGTATGCTTAACAATGATTCTCAGATGTTTCCATGCGGGCTTCATTCCAACAGCATTTTCGTTTTTCGTCTTAGCAGTTAAGAATCAGTTTACCTCAAGCCTGTTGAATATTAATAGATAACTAGAATTAAGGGAGAATAGGAAGCTTTTGTGAAGCAGGTAACTAGCAAATGAATAATCCAGAAAGTTCTATAATCTCTATCAAAGTGATTTATAATTGAGCCAATTATTTTCTGCCTTTCCTCATAAAACCACAATCTCAGCAATGACTATAGTTCTACCCCCTTCAGGCCTGAAGACTTCAGCTACATTCTACCTTCAAGTCTAAAGCTTCTGACACTTGGAAGCTGCTTCTCTTCTTTCTTAGGACCCATAGTAATGTCTCATTCCAGGACTCACCAGACTGATTAATGAAATGCTCATATTGGGGCTTCATTCTCACTAACTGAGAGTAGCATCCCAGCTGGGGTTGATATTCACATTTGAACTTGATCTCTACTTGACTACAGACAGGAGACTTACCAAGGGGTGAAACCTGAAGACCTCTGGTTTCATGGAAGCAAATTTGGTTCTACTTATATCTTAAATACCTTTCAAGATGCTAACTGCTTGGAAATTGCAAGAAAACATGCTGCATCCAAATTCAGGTTTTAATGTCACATGTCACACTTTCAAACTTATGTAGAATTATCATGTGCATGCCATGCACAAGGAAGTGGAGTAAATAATTATCTCCTGGCATTATCTATTTTAGATCCTACCCTAAAAAGAATGTTATGATGCAATGTATTTATTCACATCAGAATGAAGCTCAGGATATAGCTCTAAGTTAATTTTATTTTGAGAGAAAATTTCATTAAAATAGATAAAGGCCTTGTTTCAAAAAGGGAGTAACAGAACTAATGCATTTTGCTCAGGTTTGAGCATTTCAGTAAAAGCTTAATGCTTAAAGTGACATTTTCAAGATACAATAGTACTGACAAAGGAATATCTGATAGGATGATGGAATATCACCATGATAAATCAACTGAAAATGAGACAAATCACCCAAGTGGGAAAGAAGCTCTTGTGCTGATTTTCTATCAACATGGTTTTAGGACCAGGAGATTGTGAGTGGACATAGCTGGTATTTTATCTGAACTTAGGGTTTTGGAAATTTATGTTTTGACAGGATCTGATCCAGGTCTCTAAGGATCTTATAGAATTCAATTGGCAATTGGCAGCTCTGACTCATAGCTTTGTTTATACTCCTATGTTTCAACACATCAGAAAAGCTATTTTTTCCCTATAGTTTCTAAGAATGTCTCTCAATTACAGAGCCTGAGTCTGAATCATTTCTGGTTCCCTTTTCTAGCTTATATCCATCTTATTTCTTGTATATATGTCCATTATGATGTCTTTCAGAATCCATCAGGGATATGGCATAGATATGCAATATTTTACTGACTTAAAGGTATGCAGAAAACATTCTTTGCAATAAGCAACATTTAATATATTTATTTCTTTTTCTTTTGCCCGTGCATGACTGCAATGAAAACAAATATTCTCGTATTTAATATGACTTCTAAAATAACCACTTCCTTTACCTGAATGGCCCATATTTGGTTCTTGCTTTTACACTTGTGGTCAAATTTTGCCATTCTCTCTGTTGATTAATAGCCATTATTGTTCTTGTCATTATCATCATGATCATGTGTACTGTTATCATAGCCAATTTGCTTTTTGGCATTTACAGAAACCTGTCACTATTCTAGATACAATTACATTTCCTAATCACGCTTCATTTCTACCTACTATATGAAATACCTCATTGATGCATTGCTAAATAACAATGGTTAAGTATTATATAGTTCTTCCTAGCCTCTTTGAATTCTTCGTTATCTCTGTGTTTTTTGTCTTTCTCTTCAGATCATCTAAGATCATATTTGCCTGCCACTCTGCCTTCTCAGATGCAATGTGGGGGTGGGTCAATGAAACACAAATATGCAAAAAGAATCATATTACACAGATATATAAACTTCCATGAGCACACCAAGGAAGAGATATTAGTATAGTCTAAAATAATGGGAATTATTTTACATCTAGGAAAAGCAAAGTTTTCTAGAATGAAGAGAACTTTGAGATATAATATAAATGTTCTATATAAATACAGTTTATGAAGGAATAGCAGTGCTCACTGACATGGAGAGTTAAAGAGATAGACAAAACTCTGTGAAGTTCACTAATGTTAGAGTCTTAAATGATATCGACTCCATTTCTCTTTTGTAAATCATTACAATATCCCATACTGAAGCCTTTAAATAGTGGATAGATTAGAAAAAAGCAGACATGTTTTGCTAAACTTGATGGTCTCATCATTTGTTTATCTTTAGAAACATAATAAACGTCATTTTCAAAGGAAAAACCAGAAATAAAACTGTGTGTGGAAATTACAGCTCATTCTATGTAGCCATTTAAGGTAGTAGGAATAACATGGGGGTTTACTATTCTTTGTACTTTTCTGCTCTTCTGAAAACTATTATCTAGAAAGGAATGAATAATAACTGCTATCAAACAAGATTATCATTCATTTGAAGCAACTTTCCATCTTTGCATCTTCTTATGAAGCTTTCCATAAGTGGCATAATAAGAAACCGTCTCTCCATTCTTAGGGATCTGGTGGCATTTTATCTATATTTCCTGGTGATACTTCATTATTTCTAATACGATAAGGTAACATCTTCTCTCCCCACTGAAATGTTTGATGTGAACACAAACTTGTTTCATTATTCAACTTTCCAAAGCACCCAGCAGTTAGTATTTTATTTATAGTCCAAGCCCAAAAGTTGTTGAATAAATGTATGAATGAGCCATTCCACTGAAAGCTGATTCTTGGCTTGTTACTCATGGGATATTATTTCAAATATTGACTTCCAAAGCAGTAACCACAAAATTAATAGGAAATAGAATGAACATGAGGATTTTTTTCAGGAAAATTGAGCTCTGAACTTAGTCATCTGTTTGGAAATAATTTATAAATTAAAAATGCTTGTTTTGACAAAATTCTGACATATTGCTTTATGAAATGTGCCCACAGCTGAGTATATTCAGAGGTGTACCAGTTAAAGAACAAATGAATTTAGGATTTAGTTTTCAGGCTTATATTTGCCAACAATAAAAATTAATCAAAATTGAAAGAAAGCAATGCAATTAAATTGCTAATAAGCAAAACCAAAGCAATGTATGAATTATTACACAATATATAATATAGAATATAGAATATTACAGATTTCTTTTTATAAAATATATGAACACTTCACAATGCATTATGTAAAATTCATTTACAAGATAAAATATAATTATTTAAAATATGAGCCTATAAACTAAAGTACTGAAAGAATTCAATTATTAATTCTTTCCTTTTACAGCTTTTTATTCAGAATAACAATAGAAGAAATGACAATTTATGTAGACTATTAACTACATTTCTGTAGTATTAGACAAACAAAGCCACAATACTCTTTGGTTGATATCTAATTGAACAAAGTATCCACCAGCCTTGCCATGTGCACCTTATAATTCTATGATATTATTTGTTATTTCAGATAAATAATTTCAAATAAACAATTAGAATATTTAAACAAGAAAGAACCTAAAATTCTTCATGTTTTAGAGCCTCTTCTCACAAAGTAAAAAGTTAAAGAGGCCTGAAGTTTGAAAAATGACGTGGTTTTATGAGATTTAGTGCACTTTAATGTAGATATTTAAAAGCAAAACCAAAGATGTTTGGTGTAACCACTGAATCTTTCATATGTCATGGTAGACTTCATGAAATCAAGTCTATTACTTGCTTTTGAATTGCCTTCCAGCCACATTCTCCCTTAAGACAAAACAGGAACTGTGGCAATAATCTCTGATATTAGTTTTACTTGTGGAAGAAGACACAAAGTTGTCGAACTTGGCCAATAATAAGTAAAATATAAAATTTTTAAATATAGGGCTATTTCAAATAATGTGAAAATGAAATAAGTACTCTACTTGCTATCATCTGCATTTTATAATTAAAAAAACCTGTAAAACATTTTCAGAATAAACTATTCAAACATTTAGAAAGTTTCTCAAAGGATTCCTATAAATTTAAGTGGAACCTACCTTTAAAATTTGGCCGGATTCTTGCATCATATCCTGATGTCCTTCCCATTAATTTGTCCAAGAAATCCGAGGGAGACAGAGTCTGTGAAGGTTGTTTTCCAGACCTGGAGTCATGGTCTTTGCAGAAACCCGTCCTAAACACATCATTAACTATTTTAGCAACAATTCCATTCTCGTATTCTGAGAATGAATGCTCATAGAATGTTTAACATTATATTTTGGTAAAGATTATTTGATGTGTTATTCAAAAGAAAAATAGAGAAAACAAACTCTTTGGTCAACTTCTGAACTTGTGCATGGTCTGAAGTTAACTTTAAATGATAAGTGTAAATCCTGAGTCATATGTCATAAGTTTCTGAACTTAAAAACTGTAAGAGATTTAAGATGAGACAATTTACATAGCTTTATGATGTAGATTTTGTGCCCATATATTTTTCTTTCTAGAGTTATCAGAGAAGTGAGGATGATAATTTCTGAAATTAATGTGATTGGTTTAAAATCATTTCCCCTTGGCTTAAAAATGTTCCAGTATTTCAGCCCTAAATATAAATTCTCTATCTTTTATAAGAGATATGTAATGTGGGAAGCCAAACAAAGTAAATGGTGCAACTAATTATCCCATTGTTTTTTTTAATCACCTGATAGATTCTATTCCAGGTATCACATTAGTATTTTTCAATGTGATGACTAAAAAGAACCTTCAGTTAGAAATTTAGCTTCATTTTAAAATAGGTCAACAATGAGCAAGTCTTTACCTATGTTATTTTATCAGTAGTTATTTATATATGCGCCTTCAAATTGTTGACTGTCCAATAAGAATTCATAAGAAAGACTTACAAATAATTTTGTCTTTTGAATTATCAAAATGCTAAAAGTAGATTGGGAAATTTCTCAAATTTTCATATTGCTGATAAAAATTAATAGAAATCTAATAAAAGATAATATTTGGATTTTAACAAAATCAATTATTTGACAATACATAGCAGTTGCCTGAATGTTAATTTCCCCCCAAAGCATATATTTTACAAGCTTTGTTTTCAATAGTTTGACAAAAAGTCTTATTAAGGCTGTCACTAACAAAATACTACACTTTTGCTAGTTTTTCGATGAAGAGACACAAATGTAAGTGTAAAGGTAACATAAATATTTGGTAGGACTTAAAATTGATACAGTCATCCAGAAATACTCACATTCCCATATGCAGATTCATCTGATTAATCAAGTATTATTTGATTATGATGATGGTGGTAGTGGTGAGGATGATGATGGTGATGAGGATGATGACTCTAACAAAACCCAGTCTATATTTTTTTCTTAATCATAGTAGGAGGTGTGAACCTGAAAGGAACATAGTGAGTTTTCCCAGTATTCATAGCATTATTGCTATGTGTTCCATTTCACTTGGTTCTGTGAAAAAAATATAAAATGTGGTATAAATTAAATGAAGAGTCCTACACTTTGTTGTAAGAATATCTCCTATCTCTATCCTGTCTTAGACCATCTACTATTAGATGATTATTTTACTTACAGGTAATAATTTGATATTTTGAAGTATCAATTGATTTGACAATTAAGTGGAAAAATGCAAGTGTGCAAATAATTTATCACTTATTTTAATTATGCATGCTCCATTTTGCATACCTACATAAAGGCAAAGATGTCATATTAATTAAATTTTGGTAGGCAATTGATTTCCAAATAGACTATACACTAGAACGTAGCATTGAAAAGAGATTTCCAACATTTCAAGAAAATTTCTCAATTGTAGTGTGCTTCTAGTTGCTGGAATACAAGTCCCAAGTTGGCAGAGGATTAGGATTCTTTTATAGTTTATATAAAATGGGCATGCTCCTGGTAAATTAATCCAATCACTTGCACCACATGAAAAATATTGCACCCAATAATCCTTTTAAATGACTTCCAGAAGAATTCAAAAGCAAAAATATCACCCTTATACTGCAATATAAAGAACATGCAACTTATCAGACTACCTTAATATTGTATTGGCTGTGAAAACGCGTATTGAAATGCATAGAGTGGAGCTATGGAACATTAAACTTGCTTTTGTAAAAATTTACCACCTTCCCACCATAATTAAGCTTTTTAAATGAAGAAAAAGAAATTAATTATTCACTATAAAATTAAAACAATATGATCCAGGACACAGAAAAAGAGATAATAATTACATGATCCGTTCTCTTTCAAACAGTTTTCATGTGCAAAATATCAGCATGCAAAGTCGTTTCACCTACCTGAAGTGATTTGTTTCTAAGAAAAATGCAAACAAGGCTGTCAAAATGTTCACTAGCTGCCGGTTCATTCCTGTTTCTGTGATGCTTGTGGAAGATATCCCGAAATGATTCCAGAAAGAAGCTAGGAAAAAGTATTTATTTATTGTCCAGATTCAAAATCTGGCAGAAATCTAGTTTCCTTGAAAATCAAAAAGAGATTTGGAATTGAACAGTTTGCTGAGAAAAAACAAAAAGTGCCAGTCCTGGGCATCATGGTCAGGTCAAACCGAGGCTCAGGACCATCAGTTAACCAAGCAAAGACAAAGCCTCAGGACTGATGAATCCCCCAGCTGCTTTTCCTGAATAATAAAAAAATGCTGCTACCTTAATCACATCACCATGCAAAGGGGGTTGGTGACAATGCCATGCTGGAAGTCAGGTTGCTGTGGCTTTTGTTTTATATCCTTTCTGTTTATCAAAGCTCTTTTCTCTAGAAAATGTTCTTTTTAAAAAAAAGAAGTTGTAAATGAGGGAGAAAAAAAAGACTCTCTGCGTTGGAGTGGGTGGGGAAAAGAGAGGAAAATTGCTGAGATCCTGTGCTGGAATGAGGGCTACAGAGAGAGACGGAGACGTGATCTTACCCAGCCTATAAATTTCAGCACTCGGACAGCTCCTAGCTCTGAAGTGCGCATGTTTCCTTTTTCAGTCGCTTGGGGCGGGGGGTCGGAAAGAGGCATTCAAGAGGGGACGTGCCTACTGTTCGAAGGCAAAGAGCGACTTAGATGTCCCCCACGGTTGCAAAAGGGGGTGCCATGACGACAAGGGGAGAGCAGAGGTCAGGCGAAAAGGAGAGGATGAGGGCGACAGGGCTCTGTGCTTTTGGAACTGCTAGTCTGTCGTTGGGTGGGCAGGACGGGAGTTTGAAGCAGAAAAGAGAATGAGGTTTGGGCGTGGGAAAAGCAAATTGGGGGAAACAGAGAACAGGATTCAGAGTACTGCGATTATAACAAGGGCGTGAGTAGTCCACTCCTAGATAGTGGAAATCGTAGGCAAAAGAGAAGTCCTGTGCTGAAGAAAAGGGGACATGTCCTTGGCATAGAGAAGCTCGTGTACAGAAAAACGTTCGTGTAGATCAATAATTTAATTTAGAGGTCCTTTATACCTGCCTCACCTCTTGAGTGTTCTCATTTGATTTTAGCTGTCTGTTCTCCAAGGACCTCTCTACCTCTGAAGGGAAAGTCCCTTCCACTGAGCTTTCTTCAGTGGCTCAAAATCTTTGGGTATACTCTTCACGTTAAAAAGATTTGTAGAAAAGAAAAAAAAAAGATAATAGACCAGCAGGGGGCAGTAGCAATCTTTTCCTGCCCTGGTTAAAGGTTAGGATCAGGCTCCCTGTTAGAAATGGAGGAAGGAAAAGTGAGGCTGGGGTTTCAGTTTCATTTGCCCATGCCATACATTAACCACTAGGAAGGGTCATGTAATAAAGTGTAAGATGTTCTTCTCCTAGATTGGTTAAAGTGACTGATAATAATGAAAGTTAAAAAATGCAGTGCAAACTCTTGACAGGTAACCCTGTTATCTGAAGTTATCTTTACAAATATTACTAATAATAAAAGCAATAATAAATAATAATAAAATGCAAGTAACTAGCAATTTCTACATTTTGTCTGTGAAATAAAACCTTGTTAGTCACCTTGTCATTCCATAACAGCTTTAATTTTAAAACAAGGTAATATAATTAATTTTTAGTCCATAAGCGAGTGCCCTGCCCTTGAATAAGTTTAAATATTACAGCAGAGTAACAAAGAATTCTGTGTTTTAGAAAAGTGAATTCTGAGAGAAAAATTGCAAGTTTTATTTAATCTCTTAATGTTCATGTAAATTACCTGAGAATCCTGTTCAAATGCAAGTTCTGATTCAGTAGGTCCAGCATGGGGCCTAAGAGTCTGCATTTCTAACAAGTTCCTAGTTGAAGCTGGTCCTGCTGGTTCACAGATCACAATTTGAACAGCAAAGCTCTTTATGCCATTTCATTAAATTTCTATACCACCATGACAATGAAAATATAGGAACTGCCTTTGAGATGAATGTAGCAGCACCCAAGCATTCTGCTTACATACAAAATCAGGTCTTTGGATGCATGTTATTAACCCTTGATCTAGTGAATGTGATTCAATGTAAAAGGAAAACAGTATGGAATATTGTAAGACATCCTTGGACTGCAGCATCAAATCTATTGTCTTCCAAATTCATCCACATAGAAACTCTAGGTCTGATTTTATCCCTGCAGTCTTGACCCAAAAATAAAATCAATTTCTGTAAATACATTCTTCAATTGGTACTATATGGGATGATAATACAATATTTTTGTGCTTGGGATTCTTTTCAAAAGAAAATACAAATGTAAAAATAGGACAAAATGATTTGTCCCAAATTTAAAGTTCTAATGATGCTTAAAGCAGTGCAAGTCTTTTCTAGTAATTCTTTTAACAACACTCATGTTATTAACCAGGAGTGGGGTGAGTATGGAAACCTGTGACAAAAGGAGACTCTGGCCAGTAGAATGAAATCATGGCACATATTATTTTAGAGTTGGAAGGAACTTTAGACATGATCTTGTCTAACCTCCTCATTTTATTTCTCAGCATCCTCAATTTGGATTTTAGCCCTATTAATTCAAAGAAAGAGATCTTCCTAAATCTACCCATGGATTCCTTGTAACTGAAGCCAAAGAACATTTCTTTTACTTATATTACTTGGCATTTCCATGATAACTTTCTTCATTGGTTTCTTTCTTCTTGAAGCACTTTCCTCTCTGGACCTTGTGAAACAGCTGCTCCTAGTTTGCCTCCTACTTGGTCTCCTTGCCAGGTACTCGTCCTCTACCTGGTGTGTAACCACTGGATTTATTAGCAGCTATATTCTAAGCTCTCTCTTCTCACATTATAGTTTTGTAGATAATATTGTGATAATATTCTATTATCATTTCATGCAGATGACAATGAATGTATATTTCTATCAAGACCCATAAATCCAACTGCTTCCTAAATAATTCCTTTTGGCTGTCTTAAAATCTCCTCAAACTCTTCATGTGAAAATAAAACTTTTGGTAAATTTCTCCATCCTTCTGGTATTCATTTTACTTCACTTGTTTCCCTGTCACCAATCAATGTCCAAGATATGATCTCTAAAACTCCCTCTCAACCACCTAGCATATCCAGTTCTTACCAAGTCCTATTGATTTTATCCCCCAAATATCTACCAAAGCTGTCCATTTCTTTCCCTCTCAACCTCTATGATCCCAGTACGCATATCTTTATTTCTTACCTGGACTGCTGTTAAACACCGCCTTACTAGAGTATCTGATCCAACAGCTGGCCCTCTTCCACCTCATTCCATGCTTCAGCCAGGATGGTTGTTCAAATATCAGGATCTGGTTATGTCACAGTCCCTGGTTAACACTATAGCTCTCCACTGAAGTTTGGGTAGAACAAAGAAACTACTTGATCTGAAAGTCCAGCATGATCTGTCCCATGCCTATGTCGTCCCTTTTTTATCCCCTATTCTTCTTACCCTTCCCCTCTAAACATATTGATTGTTTTTTAGTCCCTCATTCTTGCTGTATTTCTTAATCTTATGAAGTGCTCATGCCTCTCATCTTTGTCTAGTTAATACCAGCTTATTTTTCAAATTCCTGCTCATGTATTATTTCCTTAAGACCTTCTCTAACCTGCATAATTCTATCAACTCAGATTCAGCGAACTCATCACCACTGCATGCACACATGTGTAGGACTATTTAATTATATTATGAGCTTTGCAATGGAGAAGGAGAGCAGATATTTTGGTCCATCATTGTATCCTCATATTTTAAGTGATAATGACAATAATCATGATGGCACTACTGATGGTAACCAGAAGTGCTGCTTAGTCAAAGTAATATGTGTAAATATTTGTAGTTTGTAGTTAACAAATATTTCTGTGAAAAATTATTGTTAGGAAATTAACAAATTAAGAGCTGTGATTATTTGAAAGGAAACCAGGTTCAGTGGCTCAGCATTCTAAGGCATGAAATGAAACTCAAAGTAGAACAATATGAATCTGATTGATTTTGTGACCTTGGACAGTCATTTAAACTCTCTAAGCTGCATTTTAACAATATGTAAAATATATATAATGTTGGTACAAGATATATCTCTATGTAGGATAGTCTTGAAAGCCACATGAATTCATACATGATACTGGATTTTAGGCTATTGATCTCAGTTATAATATCTACTGGCTGTTAAAATTCATGTTTTTACTTTGTTTTTTGAACAATTCCATTTTCAAAGAAGTCAGTCTCAGGAGCTTTGTAAAGACCTATTTACAATGCAATGCAGTCCTGAAGTCTAATCTTCCTATGCCTGTAACTCACCAGATTACAACTGGTTTAGGCATGTGGCACCTTCATTTTGTATTCTTCCTGTCAAGGAAATGAAAAAAATATTACCCGTCCAATGATGTCACAAAGATTAACACACAATATTTGGTCTATGTGATGATACATATTAAAATGTCTCAATGGATAGCTGGCGCCGCGGCTCACTTGGCTAATCTTCTGCCTGTGGCGCCGGCACCCCAGGTTCTAGTCCCGGTTGGGGCACTGGATTCTGTCCTGGTTGCTCCTCTTCCAGTCCAGTTCTCTGCTGTGGCCCGGGAGGGCAGTGGAGGATGGCCCAAGTGCTTGGGCCCTGCACCCACATGGGAGACCAGGAGGAAGCACCTGGCTCCTGGCTTCAGATTGGTGCAGCGCGCTGGCCATAGTGGCCATTTGGGGGGTGAACCAACGGAAGGAAGACCTTTCTCTCTGTCTCTCTCTCTCTCTCTCTCTCACTAACTCTGCCTGTCAAAAAATGTTTCAATGGATATAAACAATAGAAGCATTTCTTCTAAACATCAGTATCATTTATTGATAGTGGTAAGTCTCAAGAACCTCTAACAGATTTACAATTCCTTACAGTTTCCAAATTACCTATACTATGTGGCAGAATAATAATTGAGATTCATATTTTTCCCAATGGAGAATCTAAAGTTCATGGGAATTGGTCAGAATTTACAAGTTTACATGGTTAAGTGATAAAATCATATTTCCAATATCTACTACTCAAGTGAACAGAATTATTTCTCATCATGTGTGATTGATGTTATTTTGCAAGTCAATGGAAGCCTACAATATACCCACAACAATTTTTTTTAACAACCATGCTTTTATTTCATTGCAGTAAATGCCATTTTGATAGCATTTGTGCCAACATCATACACACACACACACACACACACACGATGAATGGCAAGACCATATTTACAGTCTCAAAGTCAATTTCCTCTAGGGGAAAGCTGAAAAATGTCTAATATAGCAATATCCTGCATCAGGACTCCTAGTGAACTCTTACGGGTCGTCCAATAGAGTGATGTTCCTCCTCAAATATTAGCACTATTCCAGCCACTTGAAAAGATGAAGTAAAGATTGAGAAAGGACATATTCATTTACAAATGAAATTCAAGTAGGGGCTTTAGATAAATAAGAGAGGGCAAAATGTTGGTTTACCAATTCTTTAGTTGATAGAGAATGCTTCTTGGGCCGGCGCCGCGGCTCACTAGGCTAATCCTCCGCCTAGCGACGCCAGCACACCGGGTTCTAGTCCCGGTCGGGGCGCCGGATTCTGTCCCTGTTGCCCCTCTTCCAGGCCAGCTCTCTGCTGTGGCCAGGGAGTGCAGTGGA